TATATATATATATATATATATTACTTTGTCATTCTCTTATGTATATATATATATGTAATTTTCTTTCTTTCTATCCTTCGGCCTTGCTTGGCTTTTTTCTTTTCTATTCTTTATGCAAATTATTGCTATTTAAAACTAATTTATAATAAAAAAAAAAAGAAATAGCATATTCACGCGTTTGAATTATATGCAAAGTGTCAGGTGATCATATTTATTTCGTGACCGATGCTTTTATTTAATAATTTACGTATTTAAATTAAAAATGTTCAAGATTTTGTTTTTTTTTTATTTTTATAACCAATAATATTTATGTTACAATTTTTAAATGGTTTAAATACAATCATTGTTTAATAAAAACATTTTATTTCTATTCGATCATTTCTTTTTATCATTGTTTTATTAGCATATTGCCATGTCATGTTTAATCTTCATATCAATGATCTCTGATCTATGTTATTTCAGTTGAATTACGTTTCTTATTTCATAATGATAAACGTTAAATGGTGTATTATTGTGTCACATTGTTGTTCTTGTTGTTGTTTATCTTTTTGATCTGTTCTATTATTTACGTTTATTAAAATTGCATATTATTTTGTATAATATGTGTGTGTATTATTAGAAATGACAATAATAATAATAATAATAATTATTATTATTATTTTTTTTTCTAGGCCCATTCACCGGAGCTCCAGTCACATCTTACATAAAATTAATAAATCCTACCTCTAACAAAGTATATTTTAAAATAAAAACGACCGTACCAAAGAAATATTGCGTACGCCCTAATTCAGGAGCCTTGAAGCCAATGGAAATTGCAGAAATAGCAGGTTCATTTATAAATCTATTTAATATTGTTGATTAATAATAATTTCTTTCAAGATTCAAATGTATATAAAATAAAAAATATTTGATGTTTTGTAGTATGCTTACAACCTTGCGATTTTGATCCAGCGGATAAAAATAAACACAAATTTATGGTTCAAAGTTTAATAGCTCCGGATAATGATCCAGATGATTATTTAAATAACGATGTGGTATGTATCATCATAATAACGAATACTTTTAATTATAATTTATGTACATTATTATTATTATTATTATTATTATTATTATTATTTGTGTTAATAATTTTTTTTTTTAAGTGGAAAGAGACAAAACCGGATCAATTAATGGACTCTAAATTAAAATGCGTATTTGAGAATCCAGTTACAACTACTGCTGCAACTAAAACGACTACAACCACTACGACAACTAGGTCTGATACTACTACGAATAATGAGAAAAATAAAGGTACTGGTGATTCAGTGAAATCATCTCCAAAGGTAAGTTTATATCAAATGAATAAAATCAATCTTTTCAAAGAGAAAAAATATTAATGATTTATAATATTAATATATTGTTCATATGTTTAGGTATTGGAAGAAACAGAAGAGAAATTGTTAAAAGCAGCACAAGAAGTTACTCAGCTTAGAGTAGAAGAAAGTGCTCTCAGGCAGGAGAACCTTCAACTCAGGGTAAATGATTAAAAATTATTTGATGATAATTCTCGTTTTAATCTTTTTTTTTTTTCTTGTAATTAACAGAGATTTAATTGTTATTTTGTTTTTTTATTATTCTCACAGAGAGATTTAATGAAATACCGGAATTCAGCATTGGAGGATGCTAGAGGTTTGCCAGCTCAAAGCAGTAATCAGTATTCTATGACATCAATCAATTATCTCATTACCATTGCAATGATCATATTTGGCTATTTGTTGGGAAAACTAATCTGAGCAGCTCTTATTCTTCAAATATACCTCGGCACATCCCTTCTTTCCCTACATTCTTAGTCTGCCCCCCTGCCATCTTCAGACTGTAAAGACCAATTTCAGTCTCGTACCATTATTTGGTTGATAATAATAAATTATATTAACAGGAACACAATCGTGGTCTCCATTAATAGGACTATTTGCTTTGGGAATGTGCTTAGCCCGGTAAATCATCCGAAATTTTGTTAACTTCGTTCAATTTTGAAAACTTCAAATCCTTTTTTAAGAAATGTTTGTTATGTTCCAGTCAAGAGTCCAATGGCTTGGGATTGATACCACATATTAGTTAATTGTTAAACATCTAAGAAATGTTACTGATTAACGTGAAAACTAAATATCAAGTAGCATGTCTTGGATATAAATGTTTACTAGTTTATACATTTGTTTTTTTAATAAACTTTCCCCACGCATACACTTCTTACAAAAGGATTTTTTTGCTTTTCAAACAACAACACACTTGCCTGCGTCTTCTTTGTGTCTTTGTGTCATCGATGCATATATATATA